CCTGTGAGTAGCAGGCAACTGTACAATCAGTTTTAACTGAGAAAGTGACMTATTCTGTTTGCATTGAAAAAGATTACTCCAAAGCAGCAAGGACTTCAGTTTAAAAGCTATTGAAATAATTTGGTAGATTTCATCTCTCTGTACACCACATTATACARTATCCATGTATGAACATACTACAATGWATCCCACTTATATGTATTACTATAATGCACTAATTAAAATAATAATAGAAGGGAAATCCACAGAGTAGAGCAAGTGGGTCATGGGAAGAGAGGAGGGTAAATAAAAGGAAGGTAGTGGAAAGTGAGGTTAATCAAGTTACGTTATATACACCTAGAGATGTCATAATGAATCTCACTAATATTTATAAAGCACCAATAAAATTATAATAAATTAAAGAAATAAATTTTAAAAGCTATTACAACRGTAGACCAAGTAAGAGATGATGAAGACTTAGATCAGACCTGGCCTTGTTCTTAAGTAACTCACAGGAACTAAAACTTATCAACCAGATTGGACATATGGTMGCAAGTATTGATATCAAAGCCCAAGCAAGAAACTGTAAAGAGTGAGGAATTTATTTTAGCTGAGGACAAGAAAAAAAATCATGAAAAGTTTAAGTCTGTCTTATCCCATCTATTTATAAGTTTTAAGGATAGGTAATTGAGACAACATAAAAAGTTGCTTCTGATTCATGATCACAGATTATGTTAACATTAGAACCAWAGCTAGAAACCCCACTTCTGTGGTTTATATTTTATTCWAACTGGGCCAACTCAAGTTCATAGAGTTTTGGCACAAAACATAATCATTTTGTTGTTGAAATTATTATWGCATATCTTTCAGCTTTCCTAGMAAAGCTTTAAATATGTGGAATAGAACTAAAACCTCAAACTTAGAGGTAAGTTAGGTAAATTCTCTAGAMTGTTTTCTATTGTATTTATAGTGCCTAGAATCTCAAGGTGGGAAGGAAATTTAGAAATTAATTAATCTTTTAGATTGTTTTGAGCCAATGCTGTTAGACATGAATAACAAATTAGGAGTAAAAAAAAAAAAAAGAAGAGATAAAATTATTATGTACAAATGACAAGATTACAGAGGAAACACTGTCCCTTTATCCACCCCTCTTCTCCAGGCATTTCCACTTCCTTGCAGTTCCTTAAATATGCAAGMACAAATGACTTTTGCATTTATTTCCACATAGAAGACCCATCCACCTGAGATTTTTAAGACTAACTTTCCTGTTACCTCCTCCAGACATACCTCACCTGCCTTCAGTTATGACTCAATCAATCCCATCAGGGGATTAATTCACTGATTGGTTTAAGGCTCTCATGATCCAATCATTTCTCCTTTAAACCTTCTCGAATCATTTCACACATGAACTTTGTGGATACATCACATCCAAACMATAACAGAAGGTAAACTCTTTGAGATCAAGGGCCTTCCTTCTGTTGTGTTCATTGTTATGTCTGTAGTATTCAGTATACCCCCTGGCACATACTCCCTGTGCCTAGAATACTACCTGACATATAGTAAGTACTCAGAAATTATTTGCTGAACAAATGAAAATCCAAAAAACTCAAATTTGAAATTATAACCAATAATAATAGAATTTGTAAAGAGTCTATGTTCAAACTTTGCATGTTGAAAACAAAAATCTACATCTACAGAGAATGACAAATGAGAAGATTTAATGGAAACAAATATCACATAACAGCAACTAAAAATGTAAACTTCCTGGATTTAAAAACTTCCTGCTGAACCTAAAAGAAGGCTGGAATAAATGGAAAGGCTCAAAGTCATGAGTCAATTCTTCCAAGGTTAATCTATAAATTTAATATGATTATTTTATAAATATTGAGACTATTGACAGGGCTTGGGAGAGTGGGGGAAACTAAAGAAGCTAATTATAAAGATCAGATAGATAAATACAGAAGAAAATCCATGAAAGTTCAGATAAAAAAAGCATAATGAGGTGATAATAGCTCCCCAAATATAAAACCATATAAACAAAAAATAATTAAAACTGTGTGGTATTGAACATAGACAAATAATTAGAATAGAATTAAACCAAAGTATATACAAAAATTATATGAAAAATAATTATTTTTCAAGCCAGTGGAGAAAACATACATAATTCAATAGATAATATTAGAATAATAAAATTTAACCCTTATCTTACAACTTACATTCACATACATTGAACAACACAACAATAAGTAGAACAGTGAAAGAATTCAACCCAGACACCACATAAGACTGATAAATCTGAACATATAAAAATTTCTGCGTGGAAAAATGTACTAATAGAAGTAAAGTAAAATGGCAAAAAAATATTTGTACTATATATAAAGGCTAATTCTCTAATACATGGCTTCTGTAAATCAATAAGAAATAAAGCATAACAACCAAATTTCTTAAAATAGRTATAGGAAATGAATGATCAATTCTTAGAAAAGAAAATGCAAATCATTCTTAAACATATGAAATGATATTTAGTTATATAATAAGAGATAAAAATACACTAAAAGAAATTCAGATTTAAAGTATTCTTAGACATCAGTTTTTACCCATCAAATTGGTAAATTTTTAAAAAAAGAAATGTTGATTCCAACCATGTTGCCAAGATAATTGAAAAAGAGTCACTTGTTCTTGCCTAAGAGTGTCCTTCCTATCCCTTTTAAGGTTAATCTGTCAATATTTATCAGAATCATAAATGTGTGTAGGATATGGAAATTCCACTTCTGGGAATTCATCCCACATATAATAGCATATGTGTAAAACGGTATATATGCAAAGTCCATCCCTAAAGCATTGTTTATAGCAGGAGAAGACTGGAAATACCTTAAATGCCTGACAATAGGAACCTGGTTAGTTTTTATATGGCTGTTAAAGAAAAATGAAGTAACTTTATTTATTGAGAAAGGTACCTCCAGTATATTCAGAGAAAAGAAAAGAAGACCTGAATAGTGTGTTTAGGGTACACTAGCATTTTGGAGAGGGAAAAATATTTACTTGAATATAGGCAAACTACCTCCAGAAGGATCCAGACCAACTTGATAGCATTAATTGCTTCTGGAGAGCAAAACTGAGCTACTGGAGGAGGGGGTGGAAAGGAGATTTTTCACTGTGAATTGTTTCATACCTTTCTACTTTGGGACCACATGAGTCAAGCAATTATAATCCACCTGCTGGTTATTGAAAGTGATGTCRCATTAGCTGTCAGGTATGAGGTGCCAGGTGTGGGGGACAAGGGTGGTTATCAGAAAAGCCTGGTTCCAATTCTTGCTCCTCCACCAGCTTTCAGGCAAGACTTGAGCAAGCAACCTCCCTGCTCAGSGCTGATCTGAGAAAGGCCAGAGAAACTGATTTCCAAGGCCTTTCTGGCTCCTGACATCTGTAGATATAAACTTCAGTTTTCCCTCACACATTTCTTAAGTCATCCCTCTACCTCCTCCTTTCCTCTGCAGCTCATCAAAAGCTCAGAGGAAAAGACAGACAATTGAAGAAAATAAAATTGCAAAGATGACTTTTATAGGGCTCCTGTTGAATCATTGTGTATTCCACCTCCAAAGCTGAAAATGATGAGTTTAATATCACACAGAGCAGTGCATCTTGTATCTCTCAAAAGACAGCTTATGCTACCCAGAGAACTGGGAGCTCGGCGAGACATAATTTTTCACTCCAACTCTGAGGCAAATGAAATGACAGTCATCAAGCCCACATTCTAGAAGCAACATGGTTTTCATTTGGTTTTAACTTCATTTGAAAGTGTCCCAAGGAGGGAGAATCCTTTCAAATATGGACTTTTCTTCTTTCCCAGAACTATGACCTAGGAAGGAGACAGAGAGGTGGCCAGGATTTGCCTGAACTATTTCTAATGTTGTCCACTGATAATGACAAGTGAATTGTGCCAGGGGGGCCTGGGGGTCAATCTCAATTATTCCAGGATCTTGAATGAGTCCCTTTCACGTCTGAGTCCTCCATTATTCTCAGAAAGAACTAGCAGATATATATTGGGCTGATATATAGGAAGAGAAGTTTGTATTTGAGGGACATTGAAGATCTAATGGCCTAAAAGTACTCCCACCACCCYATTTTTGCCAGTCTGTTATCTGGGTAATCTCTTTGGGTTGTTTGTTCAGTCTTGCTGCTCACAGTTGCATCCTTCACTTATAGGCACTGAGCTTCTTTACAGACTGTTCCCCTAGTCTCAGGGACGCTTAATAAATAATACCATATCAAGCTAGGAAGTGCCTGAATATGTACAAGTAGAGAGCAGAAAAAGACTAGTCAGTGTTATTTACAGATTACAAAGACTTCTCACGTAAGCTCACCCTCTTTATATGTTATTGGATAGTAGGTGTGGGATCAGATAACAAGTTAAATAAAAGAATTAACTAAGACTTTTCATGCAAAGCTCCCAGAATTGTCTTTGGCATTCATTAAATATGTAGAAAATGAGTTATTATTATTATTATTATTATTATTATTATTATTATTATTGTGCTTGCTTTCCAGTATAACTTTCTGAGATTGGAATCAAAATACCCATTTTTCAGACAAGAAAACCAAGGCTCAAAGTGGAGGCCTGATTTATACCAGGACCCCCAGCAAGAAATTTTGAGTTAGGGTAAAATTGCAAGTAGACCCAGAGTAAATACAATTGTATTCCTTGGAATACCTTCAATTAATGTCTAACCATAAATTTGTTAACTGTTCTAAGTAACATCCTGGCTAAACCCAATGAAGCCTTACTTCTTCAGAAGACCCCTAAAGTCTTGGTGACCCTTTACAGTACTTGCAGACCCTGAGAACAGAGAAATTGATCCTGACCTGTCTCAACTCCTCTGATCATAGTGCAAATAGTTGCCAACTCTGCTGACACACAGGGCCAGCTTCAAAGGGTGTGTGTGTGTGTGTAGAGTGCTTGGTTGCTTTAAGGTAAGCTCTATGGTCCCAGACTTCTCATTTGTTATTCTTTCCCTTGACAGAAAACAAGCCTGGAGTTCTACATTGACATCCACGCCCACTCCACCATGATGAATGGCTTCATGTATGGCAATATCTTTGAGGATGAAGAGAGGTTCCAGAGGCAGGCCATTTTCCCCAAGCTGCTCTGCCAGAATGCAGAGGACTTCTCCTATGTAAGTCAAGAGCTCTTGCATACCCTGCTCCAGCCCCCTCCACACCTCTGTGCCTCCTCCTGCCCCCTCCTCTTTCTTCTGGCTCAGTTCAGTTTGGTTCGACCTTCATGGGACACCTACTCTGTGCCAGGTCTTGCGTGGGTGATAAAGATGGAGGTAAATGAGCCGTGACCATGCCCTCAAGCTGCTCATGGCCCATCAGCGAGGGAGCCCCTGAAAAGGTGGCACTTGATCTGTCTGATGAGCTGGCATCTGTTGAGTGGATCTGACTCCAGCATTAACAAGGGACAGTAACTCACTGAGGCCTCCTATGTGTCARCCCCAGCCCAGGGCCTGTTTTCATCTCCCTCAGTTCTTTTAGTACAAGGGATCATTTGCCCACCATGCTCCACCCCTCCATGACTCTTTCTTGGCCTCAATTTCATGGTCAGCAATTGTTGAGTAATAATTTCCATATCTACAGTTGCGTGTCCCGCGTGTCCTAGTGAACATGTGCAGCTATAGATGTGAAAGTCCCTTGCTACCAGTAAAGACCTCAACAAACTACAGAGATGGATGCTTGTACTGCCCCTCCCCTGTGAGGAGGCTGGGGAGGTTCTTAGGCAATAAGAGAAATTCATAGCACAAAGCAGTATTGTGAAAGAACAGGGAGAGAAGGTAAGAATAGGGATCAGCACTGGTACAGGGACATAGGAGAGTGTTTGTGCATTTTACTTTGTTTTGATACTAAATATATGGGCCTTGTTATTTCCATATGGCCAAAGGAGGAGAGGGCTACAAAGGTCATAGCAATTTTTGAAGTTGATGAGCTGAAAACTCACCTGCCCGTAGCTTTAGGCTGGACATTAGTGGAGATGATGAATTTCTGTGTTTGGTAAAGTGCCCTTTGAATCCCAATCTTTGAAAAGAAAGAAAAGGAAAGGAAATGGAGATGGTTTAGTCCAGTCCCTTCTTTATACCCAAGAGACACCCATGGATCAGAAAAGTTAAGAATCTATTGCAAAGTTACCTAGCATTTAGGGATAGAATTGGAGCAACTGGCTGCCCATTTGCACCTAAGGGACAAACACCGCCATGCTTGTTTCTATAGGACCCTCTACAATCCTGTCTTTTTGAAACCACTGCAATTTCAGAGCAGGTTGCAGCCTCCTGGGTCCATGTTCCTTGGAAGGTGTGTCTTCCATTTCAGAGACCCTCACAGGGGTGAGGTTTCAGGACCTACAAAAGGGGCCCAACCCAGGAGCCTTATTTATGGGCTTGTTGACAAGGATCCTGCCATGCAGCCCCTCTGGGAGCTCAGAGTTGGAGTCAAGGGCATCTRTCCAGGTCTAATCACTACCTCTGCTTGGTTCCTCAATGCTAATTTCACAACAGGAGAGCAGTGCACCACATGGATTTCAAAGTCCTTTCAGATCTGCCATTTTATGATTTTCTGATTTTTTTCCCCTTTACCTCTAATGGTACACGCACTCTTTGTTTCTTTCACTGTCTTTATCCCTCTTGTTTTTATGTTTTCCATCTCTTGCTTCTCTTATCTCCTTCTGAATATGACACACATCCTCTTATTAAAACCACAGTTTTCATTTATTTAGATTTCCATGGGTTCACACAGAACACCTTCAGCAAACCGACCCTCACAACTCTGTGGGCAAGATTTTTTTTTTTTTATCACATCTACTTTACAGATGAGGAAAGCAAGGTTGTGACAAATAAGGCCACTAGCCTGCTATCACACTAATGGGGAACAGAGATGTGAGTGGTGGGAACAGGAGGTTAAGAAGGCAATTCTGTAAATTGGACCCACTGTGCTGACCCCCAAATGCTTTCTTTTGTAAAAAAAAAAAAAAAAAAATCAAAACAAACAAACCTGAAGCCCTGCCTGGCTCAGGTCAACAGGATATGATATATTCCTCAGCAAACAACCTGTTATCTGCAGGAGAAATGCAGGCCCAAAATGCAGTGAAAAGAGCACAAGTTACCCTTGGGTGGGGTGACTTTAGTGACCTTTTACAGAGGACAGATCCCAGAACTCGGGAGATAGGGATGATTCCCCCCAGGCAAAATCTATAAGAACATGTTCCAATTAGAACTGGTTAGCATGGGCCAAAGTGACCTAAAGTTGCCATGTCCAGTAGGGACTTGAAATCTGATGTGCCCCTGCTATCAGTTAAAAGTCAGGAGGTGGACCTGKTTGGAATTCTTTGGAAACTTCCATGGAACCTGCAATAAAACCAGAAGGCAGAAGGGGCACCCCAACCTTCTCCTCTCTGAGAAGACCCACTCTCTCCCTTGAGAGTATTTCCTTTCCCTTTTCTAATAAACTCATGCCTGCTACTCTGATTAACATGTCTAAAATTTTTCTGGTGTGATCACAAGAACTGAGGTGAGAAAGGACCGCTATGGCTGCCTCAGCTTGGTGGCAGGTCAGTGCCCSGTATCAAACCACCAGGGGGTGGTGGAGCATGCGTTTGAAGAGAGAGTCTGACCTGTCTGTCTACTCTGATGGGTATTCTCAACACCCTCGTGAAGACACAGCCATAGTTCCTACCCGCTGACGACACTGGATATGAGTTCAGAATCTCTAATGGGAACATGGAATCACTTGATCCTGGGTTCAGTCTGCTTTCTGACTTACTTGCTCCACCTCTATGAGCCTCAGTTTCCACATCTGTAGAGAGGTAAAGTGTTCACGCCCACTTCAAGGGATTCTTTTGAAGCCTAAAGGGGATACGACAGACATGGGGAACAATATCATAAAGTTGAAAACACTTTCCAAATTTTACGATCATCATCATCATATAGTTGCTTCTTGTTCCCTATCTACATTTCCTGCTCCATCTGTCCCCACTCAAGTTTCCACAGACAGTTGTTGAGCAGCAGTTACGCTGCCCCAAGGGCTCTGCTGGATCGTTCATTTAATTAYGTTGCTTATTCAATCAGTCCTCACAATAATCCTGAGATGTGGGATTAATATCCCACTTTTTGGAGAGGAAGCTGAGACCGGGAAGTGTTGTAAGATCTACTCAAAATAGCCAGCAGGTCCCCAGGCCTGATTCTCTCCTCTCTACTTACTCTTTCAGTCTAGCACATCATTCAACCAGGATGCCGTGAAGGCAGGAACCGGCCGGCGCTTCCTGGGTGGTCTCCTGGACCACACTTCCTACTGCTACACCCTAGAGGTCTCCTTCTACAGCTACATCGTCGGGGGAACCACGGCTGCTGTGCCCTACACCGAAGAAGCCTGTATCCTTGGCAAATCCCCACCAGGCCCTGGGCCAGTCTCATCCAGGCAGGGGAATCCAAGTTTGCCAGGATTTACTAGCAGGTCAGAAATCAGGATTCCAGTTCAGGAAAAGGCCAGACCTGAGGGGAGGATGGAGGTGGCAGCTTTGGATGGTCCCATTTGCCCTGCCTTTCATATGCYCCCCCACATGGACATCCTCCAACTGTCGCTTCCAGACCCGAGTCTTCCTGGGGCGGGGGCAGCCCTGGACCCATGGCCCTCCTAGTGTTCCTGCTGCACTGYCTTCCCCCTCCCCCCATTCCTCTGGGAGGTGGTGAGTCTTCTGCCTTCTGAAGTCTGTAAGTGTCCAGGCTAGATGATGCTCCAGGGTTGCTGAGGAAGAGCTTGACKACCTTGGCTCCTCCTTCCAGCCCTGATCCCATCAACCTCCACTTTCTCTCTTCATCTCTGTCTCCTTGTGCACCTACCTGCTCTCTCGCTTTTTKTCCTCCTCTCTACTGGCTCTTTTTCCTTTCTTGCTTTCTCTCCCCCTCCCCCTCCCCACCCCTCCCCCTCTCCCTCCCCCACCCCTCCACCTCTCCCTCCCTCCTTACCCTGCTGTGCTTTTCTCTCCCTGTGTCTCCTTTCCTCCCCTCCTTGCTGCCTCCTCTCTTCTTCCAGAACTTCTTCCTTCTCTTCTCTTTATTTCTTCTCCACCTTCCCTTTCTCTCATCCTCTGTGCATCTTTCTCTCTGCCTTTGTATTTCTTTGACAAATTGCTCCTCCTTAGTTTTCTCATAAAATTTCTCTAAAAACTGCTAAGTTTGCCCTGATGAGATTAAAGGTTGCACCCTAGCCTGCTGGATTTGTTTAGGTGATATTTAGTCAATCTAGTTTCCCAGAATGATTTTAATTTCGAAGTCACTGGATCAGGACTSTGATAGATTGTGATAGATTCTGCTTTCACTTTTTTTTTTAAATTTAGGTTGATCAATTTCTCCTTTCCCAACCCTTATTTTTCTCAGAGAAAAAAATATATTTGGGGAGGGGAGGAAAAGGTGGAATGGAATCCATATACAGTTGTCCCTGGGTACCTGGGATATTGCTTCCAAGACCCTGTGGACGCTAAAATCCTTGGATTTTATATAAACGGTACCATTTGTATATATTATTTCTATTTTACTTATAATATCTAACACAATATAAATCTATATAAATAGTTGTAATTCTGTATTATTTAGGGAATAATGGCAAGGAAATTGCTGTATATTGTCAGTATAGGCATGGTTTTTTTTCAAATATTTTCTGACCATGGTTGGTTGGGTCCTTGGAAGCAGAACCCTTGGATATTGAACAGCAGATGCAGAAAGTTCACTGTAAATGCAAATACTCCTTCCCTAGAAAGGTAGGTGTCCTTTGAGCCTTTCTTCAATCCTTGGTTCATGTTTATGGAGTTCCTATCACATCATCATACTCTGTGTAGGAAGGCATCTTTTCTCATTGCAGCAGGACTTAGGTTGCAGCTTGGTGGCTCCAGGTTGTCTTGCTGAGCACATGGGAGGAAGGGCAGTGGCCTCAGGCAGGCCATCCAGGGCTAGGCTGGTGTTAGGGCAGAGGTATAGATCCTGTAGAACACTGGAGAGATCATGATAAGAACTGAGAGTCCCCTCCCCACGGCCACCAAGACTGTTGAAGTCGGCTTTCCACCCACCTGGCTCAGTCAGGCCCAGGGAACAGGCTCTGCTCTGCAGTGGAGATCTGTAATTTCCCAAGGCCTGGCCATCTCTTATGTGTCACGCTGCCCCCTTCCCACTTTCACACATTTGATGATGTGTGGCTCTGACTTCTCCAGGATTCTTACCTCCTTAATACACATGCAGGTCACATTCCACTCTATAGCTACTTTGCTGATATTGTAGCAAAGGAAGTAGAAGAAAGAGATTGAGCTCGTGCATCAAAGGGGATTCTGGAATATAGTTCACAACGAGACATGAGCCCTCCAAAGGAGGCCTGAATTTGGTTTGTCCTGTTTGCTGATGTCCAGTTGGATSGTTTTACCTACTCTCTCTAAGCCCCTCTGGCATGTTTTTGTGGTAGAAATAAGTATACTTTTAGTAGAATACCCCTCCTTCAGCCCAGCCCCTCAATAACTAGTCCTCATTCATCAAAAGTAAACCCACCATTAGTATATGCCAGGAAGCATATGGGGCACTTAGGGAAAAATACTGAGCAAGAAGGCATGGCTCCTGGCTCACAGTCATTCTACCTGGGGAAGCCTGAGATGGAAAAGGAAAGATACAATTAAAATAGGCATAATAAGTTCTGCAGTGGAGGAGAAAGCTATGGGACATTGGCATTTAACAAATATATATTTGGTGCCTACCACAGACCAGGTAAGACACAGAAAATGTTGCAATGACAAAAATGTCTTTACATGCAAATAAGGGAAAATTCAAAATAGTACTGGAGTCAGGGAAGGCTTTCCTGAAGAAGAGATGTCTAAGCTGAGTTTTAAGATTGAATAGAAATTAACCCAAGGGTTCGGGGGATGGACGGGGTGGAAACAGGAGCTGTAAATAGTCCAGTATGGCTGAAGGATTTCAGATACAAGAAGTAAGTGAAGTGGTAGGCCATGAGGAATTTGCACTTGAATATGAAGGAAATGGACAGCAATAGATTTTAAATAAGAGAGGAAATCCACCCTGCCTCTGTGGACAGGATAGAGTGGAACAGGCCAAGACAGTAGGAAGGGCCTGTGTTAGCAGGCTGTGAGGGCAGTCCAGGTGGGGGAGAGCTCAGGCCTGGATAGGACAGTGGCTGAGAATATTTAGAATGTGGAGCTGAAAAGACTTGGTAACGGATGGGTGGCAGTGGGGCACAGGAGCTGGTGACGGATGGGATCAAGAGAGAGTAGAGGGCCTGCACAGCTGAGCAGGCCGGCCGTGGCACTGTTGGAGCCATCCTGCCTCATTCTGTCATCAAGAGGGTGGGAAGAGGGAACCAGAGTTGCTCCAGGAAAGTCCAGTCAGTTCCACACACACAAGGGTGACTTAACCTGGCTCCTGTTTGAAATGCATATTTTTTTTTAAAACTCTCATAACAGAGAGAAACTTCAGGCAGACAGATTATGATCTTTGTTGGCTGCTGACTCCATGTCCCAATCAGAAAAAAGGAATTACATGGTCTGATGGGAAGGACAATATGGTCTGGGAGAAAGTGTCCTCCAGAYGGGGAGTCAGGAGACCTGATTCTGATGACAGCACCAGCCTCTTCCCGGAGCACGCCCTTCAGCAAGTCCTCTAGGCTCTCAGAGGTGAGCTTCCTCACATTTACAAAGTGATGGGGGACTTTCACACATTCTAGCCCCTGCAGTGGGAATTAGAGTTGTTCACAGAGACGGAGAGTGTTGTGTAAAGATGGCAGCCACATAGATTCAGCCACATCTGGGTTTGAATCTTGGCTGTCACTGGTAGCTACATGGGCCACCCTGAGCAGATCTATAGCTTCCCTGGGGCCTCAGTTTCCAAATCTGTAACAGGAAGACATAAAATTCACTGAGCTATGATGAGGTTACATAATCTTTATGACTGTGTCCTCCAAATATTAAGTGACTATTGGTCAAGACACTTAAAGCTTCTGTAAATGGAATGAGGTCCAGTGTTGACGTTAAAGAAGGTGGGCTGTGTTGACAGGATTTATGGGGCAAAGGGCCTTGGTGAGGTCACCACAAGATGCCAGCTGGTTCACACACTGGGGAAACGTGGCCTTGCTGTCATGGAGATTCCTGTGTCTACCATCCAGGGTGGCCTTTCCCTATCACCAGGACTCATGGAGACTAGCTTAGTTAGCCAGAAGATGCTGGATGAGATGCGGGAAGGGCTAGTGGAGGCAGGGCATCCTGAGGGACATTTCACACAGGCTGACAAAGGTGTCCAGGCCAGAGCATATGTATCTGTTCAGTTTTCCTCCCTGGCAATGAACTAGCTAAACATGACCTGGGTCTTGACCTCTGACTTTCCTTGTCTACCACATCAGGGAAATAGAGCAATGGATGTAGTAGCTGATCCGAACCTAGCTCTGTGATTTTAGGCTGGTTATCTGACCACTCTGTGCCTGCTTCCCTGTTTGGTAAAATAAAAACCACAGCCACACTGCAGGGTTATTAGAGGGTAAAAGGATTCTGTAGTACCCTCTGGAATCTAGTAGATGCTCCACAAACGTTCCTGCCCACTTTTCCCAGCTCCATGGAGGCCACATGGCGTTCATTCTGTTGCCTGCTTATAACTCAGTGCTCTAGCTTTGAAGTCAGCAATGGCAGTTTGAATCCTTACTCTACCATTACGCCTGAGTGGCCTTGAGCCAGCCTTGTCCCCTCTCTCAGGCCCAGGTCCAACATATCCTACCTGTGGGAGTCGTGGAACAAGATTAGGTATGGACTCCATCACTCTGATCCCTTCAGCTCTAACATTCTAAGATTTTTCTAATTCTAAAATGTAAGTTATATAATTCTCTGATTAGATGAATTTATGAAATCAAGAATCCATGAGCCTTAAGATTTAGTGAATTTATGAACATAAGAGTTTCTAATCTAACTGTGGAAATAAAGAAAAAGTATCTTAGACAGCTGATGAGGCCAAGCCAACAGCTATTCTTCTCCTTTTAATTTAGGGGTTCTTAATTGGAAGGCCTATAGATGGGCTTCAGGAAAATCCGTGGTAACCTAAAATGTATGCAAAGCTGTGAGTCATGACACAGAGTTTGTTTTCTTGGAGAAAGGCCCATATCTTTAAACAGAACCTAATCGAGGGACATCCTCAGAGGCTTCTGCCCTAGATAGTGGCCTCTGAAACTCCAGCCTGTCCATTCTGTGGCAAGAAGATGCTGGATGAGATGCGGGAAGGGCTGGTAGAGGCCTCTGGAACTCCAGCCTGTCCACTCTGTGGCAAGAACACAGTGCTGGTGCCAGAGTCCTGAATATGATTTCTGCCTTGCCTCATTCTCATGGAGGGTTCCAACCCCG